CTAAGGAAATTATGTGGGTTACAGTTGCTCCAAGAAGAAATGGTAAAAATAGCAACAGTAACAGACTAAACTCCAAACATTATGTTACAGATTTTAATATTAATGAGTCATTGTCAGTTGTTGATTTGTCCTGCTCTCATTGTATGACGAATTATGATGCTGTTTGGTAGCCGTTTGTATACAATGCATACTCTCTCTCTTCATATGTGTGTGTTTCTCTGGCGAAATTCAGTGTGGTTCCGACAACAGTTTTATGTTAATGTACAACCCTTAATATGTTTTATGTGTGTGTGCCACAGCCAATAAGGTCTTGGCAAGATGGCCAATCACTTATACCAACAACAGAAATACTGGCACTGATGCACAGGGATGAGTCTCCTGCTACAGCTGAGAATGGGAAGTGCAAAGAAATCCGTGTTTCACGTAGTTTCATGCTCTATTTTGTTAGTGGGGAACACTGAGGCCTCAAACTGTGTAAAATAAACACATTAACTAGATTTAAAGGGTTAAACGGTGTTATGACTGCACTTGTCCAACTCCACAATGAAGCCACATGAGATTTCTGCATGTTCAGCATCACCTCGTCAGATTTCAGCAGATGTGTTGTTCAGAGCAAACTGCTCAGATCTATCATTCAATCATAGATGTGTTATATAGAGACGTGAGTCTTAGAAACATGGATGCAGGAGGGCAAAAGCGTGCCGCACACAAGACGTCAGAGACACACCTCAGGGGCAAAAACACAGATGCAGTGAGTGGGTGAAGAAGAGGAAGTGTCTCGGTGTCTTTAACCGTCTTTAATTGTGTCCACATAAACCACGTGGACACAGCTGTTCCCACACCTGCCTGCTGTTTCTGTCGTCTCCTCCAGTTTGTGTAAATGATTCTTTAACGTTAGAAAGAAAAGTAATAAAAGCTGAGTTTCACTTTAAGTTTCACAGTCACAGTGTCCTCTGTTTCCACAGAAACCCCCTCTGTGCTGTCAGTAACAGTCTGAGTTTGACTTTTGTACAATAAAAATGATCAAACCTGAAAGCTGAGGGATCTGACTCTGAGTACAACAGCGTGTTTGACACATGCGCCTCAGATATGAAATGTTTATTTGTCTTAAACACTTTGGTCTTTTAAATGTTTCAAAGCCTTAAACACAAGATTTTTAATGAAGGTGTTTGAAGTCCACGGAGACAGTCACTGGTGAAATGCGTGACATCACGTGGATGGAGACACTGCGGTGTTTCAGCTTCAGATTAAACTAGAAAAAAACCTCGAGTGACAGAAAAAGACACAAAATTATTCTTGATGACAAAAGAGACACTGAAACATTGTTTGCGTGGATGAATGTTTTGTGTTTGTGTAGGTGTGTTTTACATATTATAGCGTGGCACAGTTATTGCTCTTTACACGGACACGCGCGCGTTCCTACAGACTTCCGGTACTGCCTCATCCTCCGCTCCTCGAAACGTTACTCTGACTCTTTCAACTGCAGCATCAACAGGTCAGTGAATTAAACTTTACTCTTTATTGTTTTTTCAGTTCCTATTATTATCATTTAAAACGGGCACGTGATTGACTTCAAATTGACAATAATCATTAATCATGCAGCTGCACGAGGTCGGACTGGCGTATAGAAATATAAGATATTTCCAAAATCAAACTCGAGTTTGAATTCGTGTTGATCTTGCACCGAGGTGAGGTTTACGTGAGTGAAAGTTTTATTGTTAATATTTTTGTCAGTGAGAAGAAATAAAACAAAAAAAATAAAGAAATAAAAAAAAAATCTCAGTTATGGAAAAACGAAGAAGCTCATAAAACAGCAAAGCTCCAATAAAGAAAGAGAAAATAATGTGACAGCTTTCCTTCTTTGTCATCTACCTGTCACCTGGAGGAAGCATCCGATTGGTTCTTTATTAAACGGTGTGGTCTCAGGTCCATTTCTGAATCTCTTACTCTGATCGGGTGAGTGATCGTGAAAGAGCTCAGAGGTGTTTG